TCGACCTCATTCGTGCCGAAAGGGTTGCACTCCGAGCACACGCAAAAATACGCCAATTTATTTTACTCAGTTTTTGACGATCGACCCTCATTTCGTGTGAAAGGGTTGCTCCAGGACAAGTAAAATCGCAATTTTACTTCAGTTTTTGACGATCGACCCTCATTTCGTGTGAAAGGGTTGCTCCAGGACAAGTAAAATCGCAATTTTAGCTCAGTTTTTGACGATCGACCTTCATTTCGTGCGAAAGGGTTGCGTTTCGTGCTGTCTCGTTGGCACTGCCCCTGCTCCCGCCTTCAGAAGAGAAATAGAAAAGAAGGAGAGGGCAAGAGGGCAAGAGGGCAAGAGGAGAAGATGTGAGATGAGAAGATGAGAAGATGTGAGAAGATGTGAGTGGAGGTGTGAGAAGATGTGAGTGGAGGTGTGAGAAGATGTGAGAAGATGTGAGATGATGTGAGAAGATGTGAGAAGATGTGAGAAGATGTGAGAAGATGTGAAGATGAGAAGATGTGAAGATGAGAACATGTGAGGATAAGAAGATGTGAAGATGAGAAGATGTGAAGATGAGAAGATGTGAAGATGAGAAGATGTTTTACAGACCCCCACTATTGGAAGAACCCTGCGCTCAGACGCTCTCGGGAAAAATCAAATCCTATACCCCCATTTCGGCAAGCCTCATTTTTGAAAATTGCAACCCTTCCAAGGGATCGTAAATGGCACATCTCAAAATTGGCAACACTTCCAAGGGCGCCGTATCAGCCGCATGCCTAAAACAACCATCAATGAATCCTCAACCAACCCGAAAGGGATTCATATTTTGGATAACTTCTCCAAGTGGCAATCTAGACTCAACATCAAAGTCTATTTCTGCCTGGAACATATTTTGCTTGATGCCTTCGAGGGGCGAGCTGGAGCATTTCGATCCTCCCCCGTTGCTTGATCAAAAAAAAAGGATCAAAAAGTATATCCAACCACCATTGAAATATATTTCTGTAGGATTTTTCTGATACCAGTGTTTTGTATTTTTTGATCCGGAATATTTTTTTATCCCTCACTCCCTTCCTGAATTCATTCTTTCATTCATTCCTTCATTCGTTCTGGGTCTTGGAGCACTTTTAGGAGATGAGGTCGGCAAAATCTGCACCAGATTGTAGCGAGAGCTCGGCTTGAGCATTTCTGCAAAGCCAGCAACTGCTCTCAAAAAATCGAAAAGATACCATGCAGCAACGGATTAATAACATGCAGGCTTCAATACCCGGGTGCAACACTAGGCGGACAGGCGGGCCACTACCCCACCCATGCACTTAAGGGGATGAGCTAGGGCGTGGTCTGTAACCCAAAAATAGCGGATTGATTCCATGTTGATGATTTCCGGAGAGACTCACCACTGTCTTTGCCGACCGTCTTAACCAAGGCGTGAAAAGCCATGCCTCGCAGCTATGCGGGGTCCGGAGTGACTCCCACTATGGGTTCTTTCATTCATTCATTCCTTCCTTTCATTCATTCCTTCATTTTTTCCTTCATTCATTCCTTCATTTTTTCCTTCATTCATTCGTCCATTCATTCCTTTCATTTTCATTTCATTTCAACTCGTTCAAATCATTCTTTTCATTTCAAATCCTTCCAACGCGCAAACATTTTCTATAAGCAAACATGTCCTATTTTCGAAACTTCCAGCGCGGCCCGGGCACTACCTGGTACTTAGGGTTTGTTTAGGGTTCTGTTTGTGGTTTATTTAGGGCTTGTTTACGGTGTGATTCGGATTGGTTTCGTGTGTGTTTAGGATTGGTTTATGGTTCATTAGGGCTTGTTTATTAATGTTTATTATTTATTTAGCTTTTGTTTAGGGCCTTTAGGGTTTGATTTCGGGCTTGGTCAGGGTTGGTTTAAGGTTTATTTGCAATTTGCCTTGGGCGTATTTAGGGTTTGTTTAGGGTATGTTTGCGGGTTATTTCGGGTTTGTTTTGGGTGTGATTAGGGTTGGTCTAGGGTTTAAGGGTAGGTTTAAGGTTGATTTTAGAGTTTTTTTTGGTGATATAGGATTTTTTTGCGTGGTTTAATGATTTTGTGTTTAGGCTAGGGTTTATTCCAGGTCGGTTTGGATTTTGCTTGCTTATTGTTTTACAGGGTTGTTTTGAGGCTTTAGTGAGTGAGTGTGGCTGATGCAAGTGCTGGGGGTGGTGGTGCACCACCCCTGAGCTTGGGGGTGGTGGCGTGGTAGGATGATCATAATACCAAGGCCCCCACCTTGGAGGGATGAAGGTGGGGGGTTGGTGGGTGGTGGAATACGAAATGGTTTGTTTGAGAAGGAGGGGTAAGTATGTCAGGGAAGGTGATGTTGGGATCGTATTGGCAGCTGATGCTGCATCCTATTGCTGTATGGTTGCCGCATGTTCACCACATGAAACCCAATTGCAGGAAGGCGACGGTCCGACGGCTATGCAGCTGGATGCCTATGTTGATGTGGAGCGATTGGCAGAAGCCATGTCAGAGCTTGACAAGTACATCGAGGCAGCCCGCGCGCAACTTTTTGAAATCCGAAAGAAGAAGGCCGGGGGCGCGTTGTTTTGCGCTGCTGTTCGTGTGTGTGTGTGTCTAACATCTGAATAGATGTAAAACTTCTGTTATACCTCCATTTCATATATTGCGGGGGGGCTGTCGCCCACTCATGAGTCCACTGCCAACGAAGCTCCACATGGGTTGGGAGGATATCGGGACTGATCATCCCGACGTACCTGCAGAATTTTTCCATTTGAGGCTGACATGGCAAGAGGCTAAGCCAAGAACCCCAACCACAATGATTTTATTCCTTTTAATCTAATTGCATGTGAGGGGATTCAGTTCCCAACGGACCACTTCAATGATCCATTTCTTGTTCTGTGTGTGTGTGTGGGACTCGAACCGGCAGAATGAATGATGTTTGCCAATGTTCAGTTTGCATCATTTTAGTGGTTTCCGCTTTGAACCTTAGGGGATCAAGAATGTGAAGTTCATGCGGCTTGGAAGCACTTGAAAGCATTTGACGACAGCATGAAGTATCGTTGAGTCTTTGACTACTGCTCACGATTCATGAGGCTCTCCCTCTTCATGGATGACTGCAAGCTCC